ATGTTGACATCTACCCAGGTCAAATTTAGTATTATTTTACTCATATAGTATGGTAGTAGACTTTCTGGATGGTCCTGTCAAACATTTTCTAGCATACGTTCATTGGTATAAACATGCAAATTCAACCAATATTCAATACTATTTCAGCAGTGATGAAATTTGTAATGTTGAGTTATGGAATACTGAATTTTATCCAATAAGTCGTGATTGTATAATACCTGTGCATCATATTTTAGGTAGATTTGTACCAGTAAGTTATAAAATCTCAAACTAGCAAAATGCAAAAGAGTATTTAGCCGTAAATCCAATTAGTAGAAAATACCAATTATAAACTTATAAGTTTTAAACATAAATTTATAATAAATTGAGTAATTGACTAAATTGGTGTTGATTTTTCTGAATTTCTGAATTTGAATGACAAATCATGTTTTTCAAAAGTTAATTTTGATAACTTTTTTTGTATCAATCAGCTGTCAATCAAATATAATGATTTTTTGCCAAATTTTTATTGAATTTTTATTGAATTTTATTGAATTTTTATTGAATTATCAATTTTCCATAAATCGGAAGTGCATATTTGAATATTGGGTAAATTTTAGGTTGATTTGCCATTTGTCTGATTTTTTTTTGATTTCAACTAGCATCAATCAGCCATCAATCAAATATGATGATTTTTTGCTAGATTTTTATTAAATTGTCTGATTGGCATCAATCTGATATGCTGATTTGTAATGTTAGTCGATTTTGGTCTGATTTTTAGCTAATTTTTTATATGTCCAATTTTTTGATTTTGACCAGTGCTACAATACCATGGTCTTTTAGAACCGATGACTATCTTTAGTATTAGAACTTTGAAAATTATATTTTTTTATAAGTTAAAGAAACGGAAAAATGAAAAAAGGTGAAAACAAAAGGAAAAAGAAAAAGAGAAAAGAAAAAAAAAAAACTAAAATAGAGTGAAAGAACATTTTAAAATATACTTTAAAATGTTTATTATACTTTCAAAATATTTATTTTTTATTTTTTTTTTTAATAAAATGTTTAATGTTTCATTTATTTTTTCTTTTTTTAGATTCAGTTAAGGATACCAGGTGAAACCCATTTGTGATTTTGGAAAACGTTAAAACTTTAATTAGTAACATTAAAACTATTGAAAAATATTTTAGCATTTGCGAAATATCAAAACTAATGTTGAAATGTCAAAACTGTGGAAAATCATTTCAACCAATAAAATATGATCAGATGATTTAGATCATCATATTGCAGTAAAAAATTTTTCATATATACAGTATTGCGAAGTACTTTAATTTCAAACCAAAACTTAATTATTATATAATGAACATATATTCTTACTGTCATTTGTCAATTACAGCTCCTCGTGTGTGTAAAATAGGGGGAGTATGTATAAATTCGTTCTCTACTCTTGCAAAGAAAAATTTTTATGTGTCATTTATTTTCATTTTTATAAAACTAAACTACGTTCAAAATGGACACTTTAACTCCTATTAGTCCTATAGAAGTAATAGAACCTGTTAATACTCCAGTTAATCAACAAGCTCAACAGTCTGAAAAAGAAAAATGTTTAGGTGGGTGACCTTTAGAAGCCGTATGGCAACATTTTTCTAGAAAAAGTAAAGTTTCGCCTGGAAAATTTGAGGCTGAATGTAAATATTATTCAAAAACTTGGAAATGTGAAAAAGTTTCTATATTAGAAGAACATCTTGCAAGTCATTGTTTAAATGTACCAAGACTTGTATTGCGTGAATATATGCAAAAGGTTGGGGCACGTGAAAATATTTCTAACAAAAAGAGGAAACTTGACAAGTCTACAACTGGTCAAACTACTATAACAGCTTTTCATGATTTAAGTAATCTTTCAGAAGCAAGAACTAATTGAATTAACCATGCTCTTGTAAAATTTTTTGTTTGTTGTGAAATTTCATACAAAATCGTGGAGCACCCCTTTTTCCTTGACCTTTTAAAAGAACTTAATGCTGGTTATAATCCTCCAACGCGTGAATATTTATCTGAACGTTTGTTTGAAACTGAATTATTTATCATTAATGATAAAATAGAAGATGACATTATGAATCAGCAAAATTTGACTCTTAGTAAGTACTTTTTGTTTCACTCTTTTGTCTTTTTCACAATTTGGTATTATTTAATTAAATTATTATTACAATTATTTTTTAAATATAGCGTTGGATGGTTGGACATCTGGACACTACCAATCTATCTGGAATTTTGTTATTTTTACATCATCTCGTAAAGAATACTTGTATTAACTTTTGGATTTATCATCAAATTCACATGCCACAGAATTTTTAGCTGCAAAAATTGAAGATGTTATTGAAAAAATAGGACCTAATCGAATTTCTGCAATAGTATCTGATAATGCAGCTAATGTTAAAAAAGCAAGAGCAATTATTAGCGAAAAATATCCAAGAATTGAAAATGTTCAATGCATATCACACTGCATTAATTTAGTTACATATAATATTATTTATCATACATTCGCAGATCAGTTACTTCATAAAGTAAACATATTAGGATTTTTTTCGCAATTGTCATATGGCAGGTAAATATATAATTTTTATTATATGATTATTAATTACTGACATTATTGATAAAATAAATTTTTTTATATAATACGTATATAGGTAGCAAATTCTGAAAATTAATAGAAGAATCAGGTATTAAAGGTGGTCTTAAAATTTATTATATAACCAGGTGAACTACTTCAAGTGAATCGGTAAATTCTGTATTAACTTTAAAACCAGTTCTTGAAAAGGTAATATAAAGTCTTTTAATTTTGTTTGTAAAACTAAAACGTATTTTTAATTATTTAATTTATTTTAGATGGCAAATGAATATTAACAAATAATTGAATAAAATCAATCATTCAAAGGCGTAATTTTTTTTCAGATCTTGAAATTTTGGCCTTTGTGTTAAATCCATTACGAAAAGCTGTTTTTTTTAAAAAATCTCGTAGGATAACATTGGTAGATTGTTACCTAAGTCTCGCATGACTTGGAGCAGCTTTAAAAAATCTACCACAAAGCTTTCATCGTGATTTTCAAAATCATTGCTTTACTGTGATGAATAAGTGATTTGAGGAGTTTGATGATGATAAATACTTTCTTTGTTTTAACTGAAGTAAATAAAAAATTAATAATTAATTTAACTTAATTATTATCTAATGTTATAAATATTTTACTAGATATCCCTTTAAAAAGTGGTATTTACACAAGAAACTTTATCTATTGGAAAAATTTAGGCTTTGATCTTGAAGAATCTCATGCACTATGTTCACAGTTAAACCAATATAAAAAAAAGGAATTCCCATTTGATTTAGAATTTGGATATGGGTTTGAAGAACTAATTAGTTGGTGGAATATAATTGAAACCAAACCTCAACCAAACTCTTTACCTTTAATAGCTTTGCATCTTTTCTCTATTTATCCAAATTCAGCCTCTTGTGAAAATGGATTTTTAACTTTAGGATGGCTTACAAATAAATGTTACTTACAACTTAGAGTTGATACATTATAAACTATGTGTAAAATGATTACTTATTGAAAATCAAATCCAAGAAAAGAACTTAGTTTTTTCAGCTAAGATATAAAAAATAATTCAAAATTGAGTGATATTGAATTAAATCAAAGAATTACCAAAGCTTTAGCTGAACCTGATGATGCAGATGAAGATGACAGTAAGTTTAAGGAGAGAGTATAATCATGTGACTTTTAATTGACTATCATGGCACAAAAAATTTTTTGTGCTATTCAGTACGTCCGTGACTAATAAAACATTTGTAAATTACTTAATATTAAAAAAATATATATTATTTTCTTACCTTTTGGAACCTGAAAGTTCACCAGGTATAGTTTTTATTTAGACTTAAATATTATACTTTGGAGAAAATATCAAAAGAAGTTCCAAAAAGGTTGCGAATCGCTTAGTGAAAGTTTAGAATATCTCTACTGGAAAACATAATATTTTTTTTTTTAACAAAAAGTATTTTATCATTTATTAATTTAATATATTTGTATTCTATAGGTATGTTTTCACATGTCATTACAAAAATAATAATAAAATAATACAAAATTATTCAAACTAAAGTACTTTGTTCTTGGGCTTCATATTTTAAATTTTTGTGCTATTGATAGTTTTATTATAAATCACATGACTATATGCTCCCCTTAAAGATAATTCTTATGTAGAAAACCCTTTGCAATGAACAATTAATGGTGAAATTATTCCAGATAATAGAGTGATTGTCTTAATTGAAAATACTTGAATTGAAAATGAAATTGATTTATCCAATGAGTTAATTTTACAAGATATTGGCAAAATACCTGAAGACTTGGAAAATGATTTATTTAATAATACTAAAGGTAAAAATGACAATGAAAATACTTTAACTAATGATAATGATACAATTGGAAAAGGTATTTTAGATTATAATATAAATGATTTATTTGATGAATATGTAAATGAATAATAAAATTTATGAAAAATTAAGAATTGTAAAGCATGTTTTATTAATTTACAAATTGATCATGTGTAAATATGTAATTGATTGTATACATCTACTACCTATATAAGAAAAAATATGCATTAGGCGTTTATTATTACAGGTGGTAAAACTATAATAAATAATATATAAAAATACTGCAAAACGTTTAGCAGATTTCACAGGTTTCGCAGGTTTCACAGTTTTACATTTTTTTAAAAATTTATCTAAATGTTTCAACTAATTTCTCATACGTTAGTTATCTAAACCTTTAGGTTTCACCTAGCACCTTAAATTCAGTGACTTCTTGAACATACTGGAATTCAATATTTTAAAGGTATATTATACTTTAAAGGCGATTTCTATTTGTACATGTAGTGTATGGACACGTATCACGTGACTTGATATATTTATATCATGTGACTTTAAACTGCGGTCCATTTTTATTATATAAAATCAATTAACCAATTACAATAAAATGCGCTTAAATAAATGCGCCTAAATGTTAAATAACATTTTGACACGTCTTCGCGTAATGCCCATACTGCTTACATTTACTGCACTTTCGACCTTTTGTATCATTTGTAAAGCCTTCTATAATATTTGAAGTATTGTTGTCTTCTATTACATTACTATTGCTAACATCTTTTAGAACCCGGTTTTCTCTATTTAAAACCTTTTCAATGCTTGATATTAGCCTTTTCGGTGGCCAACCCTTATGCTTGATAACAACAGGATTAATAACATCAGTAAAGTTTTCCAGTTCCAGTCTGCTCATTACATCATAAATAAAGGCCTTGAAAATATTTAACAATTCTTGTTGCTTATCACTTTTAAGGGCACAGTCAATAGCCTTTTTCGATAATCTGGCCAATTCTGCGTATATAGCTTTAGGTGAGTTTATGGCTGGTTGGGATGGTTGAGAGTCGTGTGAATCAATCCGAATAGAAAAGAAATGTTGGAAAGTGATAGGATTTTTGAATGGTATGTTATCTTCCGATTGTATCTTATCACATACTGGAATAAAAGGATATTGTTGTAGGAGATCGTTCAGTTCAACATCAGGATTTATATACCATCGATTCAGAATTATACATATGTGGAAGGTGGCGAATCTAGAGTAAATACCAACATGAAAAAAGTGCCGACATACCAATCCCTTATTAATTAAAAGAAGACAAGTGCATAAATGCGTGCCTTCATTGAGTAGAATTATGTAATGTCTGATTCCCTGTGTGCCAGTCGCTCGTACGTTCTATACTTCGAGGATTGCTTCTATCAGTATAGTTGAAACCAACGATCGCAAAAGGATTTGTCTTGTATCTTGCTCTTGTTCTCTGATTCCTATACTTATTTCTTCATTATCGGTTTCTATCTATAATTGTAGGAAACGTAGAAATCAATCAAAAACAATGAGATTAGTAGATCCAAATTTTGTGACTTGCCCTTCGCAAGGCTATATCCTATCTCGAATAAATTTTGAAATGATTACCTACTTCCATCAAATGATGCCAATCCGTGATCTGACTAATATCATAACACACAGATTGATTCATTTGACTTCTTTGTTTCCCGAGCATTGTTGGAGTTAAAAATTCTTTAATAATAGCATCCACTTAACTGAAGAATCTGGTATTCAGCATCAGCATACCAACTGTTGGTAAGGCATCTCGTTCAATTTCAAATTGCTCGAAATGTTTGTCATTCTTAACGTGATCATTAATACTAACCAACCGATTGCATAACAATGTAGAACGATCTACTTTGCCGTGCATATGACTATTTATAGATTCAATTCGCTGCGTGCTTTGAGCACCGGCGGTAAATCTATTACGAATCCAAGGTACCGCTCATGAATTCTTAGTACTATACAGGGTATCAGTCAAATACTTAACCGCTACTGGATATTGTTTAACTAATTATTTCCATCGAAGTTCGAATAATTCTTCGCAAAGAGAATTCTGACATACATAAAATTTACGATGGAATTCCTCGAACTGACTACCTAGCTTTCCTTTAAGCTTTTTCTGGAGGTTCAGATCTATATGAAATATGCACAGCAATTGCTGAGCATTGGGATAAATATCCTTGATCGAACGAACCAAAGAAAGATCAGAATCAGAAAAAATGACTCCCGGAGAAACACCCGTTTCGGTAGATATACTATCAAATATTCACCGATAAGTATCCAGTGTTTTGTCCTCAATTATTGCGCACGCTACGATCCTGGTTTTGTAGTTACAGTCAACTCTCTTTATAGTCACACATTTGGGACAGTCCATATTTGGTGATTATAAAGAGATGTGACTATATAAAAAATTTCTTATATTAGTATATCATAATTCCGGCCAAAAATTAACATAATTTTAGCTAAAATTATACTCAAAACTTTATTGTATCGTAACTCCGCCAATATTGATCGTAGAGAGATGATCTTACCGCCATTCGATTCGTCTTGATGAGACGGTTCTAATGGTATAAAATACATCGAAATCCAATCACTAGATTAATTTCCGAAATTAAAAAAATATTAATGGTTTTTGTGTAATAACTCT